GCATCATGTGATTTCAGCCTGACAATTGGAACGCCATTTGTGTCGCCGTGTGCACGAAAGTGTCTAGGGATATTGCAATTGGAAAGCACCCGATACTCTTTTTTCCTACTGGATTGTTTACGAGAACCAATCAGGATGCAGAGTTTTCGATCAGGTGACTCAAAGCTGAATCCTGATTGGCTCTCGTAAGCACAGTCCAGTAAGAAAAATAGTATCGTGTGCCGTTTGCTTTGCTGATAAAAATATGCTGCAGAAAACATGAATCGCTCCCAGTTGAATGAAATCGGGGGGATCGTCGCTCAGGCTCCGGAGATCAATATTTTCATCGAAAGCGACGTCCGTGATGTTGGCAGCGCTTCCACCTACGCGAAGCGACGCACCGTGCGCGAGATCTATCAACGAGGATAAATAAGGATGCGGCCGGCGGATCGGGGTTAGGGTTTGAACCTGTCTACTCGCCGATCGGGAGTTACGCCCGTTCAAACATGTTTATCAAGCCGTTCAAAGTGAAGACCAATTACCAGCTGAAGGGGACCGAGAGGTTCGTGGAATTTCTCCAACGTTTTGGCGATCCTTGATTCGGTAGCCCCAGGTTATATATCCCGCATACTCGTCTGTCAAACGAGCGTCCTCGCCAATATCTTTCGTATGTTCCGACTTCCGATGAGTGAAAAATAAAACGTCTACAATACGTGAAGTAAGATTGGAGTAAGGAGTAAGAGTGAGAACCATAACCTTTAGCTTGGTGTAAGGAAGCCAAAATACAGGCGTAATTTTTTAAATATTTTAACACTGACCGATGGCACTCTGACTCGCCGTAGTAAGCGTAACGGCTCAAGTAAGGAGTAAGAAATAAAATTGATGCATTTCCTCACTCCACCCATTGTAGACCACGCATTACTTTTACGATGTATCTGAATACGTTTGATTTGCAACGTCCCAGATAGCACAATGCACGTCCAAGAGATGTAAAACAAAGATATCTTTAAGACAACTTTTAGGCATGCATGCTATCTGGGGTACGCGTGGTTTTCCTGGTGAGGAGAGATAGTCGCTTATCGCGCTCTCTTTCAGGAAGAAATTATGCGAGGAGGTATTGGCGGCGTATCCGAGTCTGTCGGACGAAGAGATTCAGTCGTTGCTGCCCAAGAAGGAATCCATCAGCATTATGAAGATAGCGACGCACAGCGGACACGTAGGCAAATTGTACTGCGTTGCCAAGATACCCATGTTCTTTCAGCTGGATTCGTACGACACTCTGCTCTTTCCCACAATTTATACGTTGTGGCAGCATCCGTATTTGTTGAACGCCTTCACCACGCACACGCCGGTCGTTTCCAAGTTGGTAGGCGGCGCGGATCTCATGTTGCCCGGACTGATTCTGAAGGAGCCGGTGACCCTGTACAGCTTTGGCAAGCTACCAAAGGGCACCCCGATGTCGATCAACACCGAGGAGAACAAGGTTTGGGTCACGATCATTCTACCATTTAACGGTATATGAAAATGTTGACGAGAGAAAAAGAGCGTTCCTCGCGCAGGCTGCAGTCGCCGTCGGCGTGACCGCGCTTTCCAGCGAGGACATGTACATGGCAGCTGGACACGGAAAGTGCGTGGAGGTTTTTCACGTCATCGGCGACATGCTGTGCCAATTGGGCAAACCACCCCCGAGGCCTGATTTGGGCTTACCGAATGTCGACAACAGTCCTATAGATGTGTTGGAAGACGTCAAATCGATTGATCAGGAGGCAATTGTAGACGAAACGGAAATTCTGCCGGTCAAGCTGGACGAGTTAGACTTGGGCGAGGATCCGGGCGACGTAGTTGCAGACGAATTCGTCTCTAAGGTAGACATGCCGGAGATTTTCTTTTAGAAATGTACGAAGAGAAATTAAGATCGCTTTTGTGTTGTCTAGGAACATACAGAGGAAGATGTGGAAACTGAAAGTGTACAAATTTCAAGTATAGCCGAACCGGAAGTAGTTGATCCAGTCCAAGAGATGGACAGGCTACTGGAATATTGTTTCTTGAAGGCGTGCAAAATGACGGTGAAGTCTAGCGACTTGCCAATGTTGTCCTCCAACTTTTTCAAAAATCACCTGTTGGCCGCTTGTCCGCCGGGCAAAAACGTCGATGTAAAGAAATCTCGGCACAAAAAGCTGTCGGTGTTTCTAGCAGAAATGAAGGCTAAGGGGATAATCAATACATCCATCACAAAAGGCGTTGAAACGTTGCTATCCATTAAGGTATATTAATATTAATATTACGGTTTATTATTCTTATAATCAACAAGCTTTTTCAAATCGTCTCGATTTGTATTCTTAGAATGTAAAGAATACGTGAAGAAACTTTTTGAAAATAAGCTCCTTCATCAAGTGATTACGAGAAATCGAATCCTTTGTCATTTATTTAAGTTTGATCATCCGCTTGTGAAAAAATTAGTCGTTACCGAAGAACCAATTGCGGCTGAACCGGTGGTTTCCAACAGCGCTGTCGTATCGGAATGTTATCGAGTGACCGCCGACGTTCTGCCAGTTCTGTCGAAATTCGGCTATGAGTAAGTACGGTAGACATGGTGTCTGCTGAATGACGCCATTTTATCACAATGCAACGTAATTTGTAGAAGAGATGGTTTTCTATACGATGATAGTAAAAATCACTGAATATTACGTCGTTGTGGTGTGTAAACATGCGTTGTGTTCACTTTACATCGAAATATATGATGATTGCAGAAAGGGTGACGTAATGAAAAGAGCCGACATCAGAAAGTGTTTTACCGAATACGTAAAAGTGGAGGATCTGCAGAATGGAAAGTAAGACGACAATGCCTCGCGTATAGACTTAAGACTGGTTTATGCACAGTTGTAACCGCTAACTTATGCTGGAATCAGTAAAAATTAATCAATTATAGATTTCGGTATAATTTAACAGTTACGGCCCTGCTTAAAATTTCGCACCTCTTTCCGACACTGACAGCGATTAATTTTGCAGGACGTTGAAGCTGAATCCCCAATTGGCGGGAATCATGCGAACCAAGGCTCATCAGGAGACGGTGACGATGGAGGATGGAATAAACAAATTCATCGGACGTATGACGCACATGCACGAGGTTACCCTCGCGGGAAACACCTTGTTGCACACGGGAAAACTGGAACCAATCGACATGAGAGTGACAGTACGATCGGGCGGGAAGAAGGTAAAAACTACGGCTCAGAAGAAACAAATGATACAGGAATTGTTCCTTTTTCTGACGGTGTCACGCAATTCGTAGGTAACATTGGTAAACAACCTGGAAACGTTCGGGATCAATCCAAAAGAGTTCAGCAAAGAGTGCCAGAGCATTGGCGCGAGCGCGACAATCACTGACGATCCTGGAAAAAAGACACCTAGCGTTCTTGTACAAGGGAATCAAATTTTATATGTGTACAAATTACTTACAGGTGAGTCACTTTAACTTTAATATTCGTTTTAACATTTTACAATTGCGCGAATTCCCTGTAACCTTGTTACCTGTTATTTGCAGAGAAATATCAGATAAAAAAGAATTATATAAGAGGCTTGGAATTCGCCCCGAAGAAGAAAAAATAGATGTTTCAATAATCAACGCTGAAACCATTCCCCGTGGTTTTAATTTTTTTCTCGAGACCTTGGCGCAAATGAATATTTAATATTGATGAATGGAATTTTAACGGAATAATTTCAATCGTGCAAATCGAGGGACGCTGCCATTTTAATTAACGTGGAAACATTTTTTAAACTAAGTTGGAGAATTAACATTTTCCTCTTACGTAGAAAAAATACGAATAACTATCGAATAAAAGCAACTCGGCAATATACAACAGGTGAATTCTTCTTATTATTATATTTATCTGAACCCTCTGTATATCACTTCGTATTATTGTATGAAGCATATGGTGACAGTTAAAGAAAAAAGAAAATTTCTTTAAGCGCAATCAATCAGGTAACATTCATGCGAGAGATGACAAGTGATCGAAGTTTCTTAATATAATTTATTATATATCGAGGTTTCAACATGGAAAAGTACAAATATTGCAATATGGGGAGGGCCCGCGAGCTCTCCTCAGATGGGAGGGAGGGAGGGAGGAAGGAGGAAAGCAGGAAGGCAGGATGGGATTTTCGATTGCACAGAAGGAGAGGAGGGGCGACGCACGTAAAGAGGGATGTCCCTTTTCGGGATACAGGGATGCTGCGTTCGGATGAAAACCGAGAGCGAACCGCGTATACGTGTATAATGTATATGTATATGTATATAGTCATATTTCTCACATATATATATTTTTTTATATATCTTTATGTCGCGCGTTTTACTTCTGCCTTAAATTTATCTCTTCTTTTTTTCTCCCCTCTCTTTTTCGAGACGACGGGATGCCGGCGGGCGTCGCGGAAAGCGGTGAAGGACGCCCGTCGGGGGGTGTTTTCTTTCTCCTCTTTTTTTTTTGTTTCTCTCTTTTGCACGGAATAAAAGGAAGGTTCCCTCCTCTCCACGGCCCCCGCATATATTTAATACTCGTTTTGTTGTCCGTTTTTTTTCTCTCTTTTTTCTCTCCTTTCTTTTCTTGTTGCCGCTACACCCGCACGCACGGGCGCGTCGCGAAAAGCCTCGCGACGCGCGCGCGCGTGTTTCATGACAGTAATTACGCTCTTTTTTTTCTTTGTTCTCTCTCTCTCTCTCTCTCTCTCTCTCTCTCTCTCTCTCGCTCGCTCGCTTTCTTTCTATCTCTATCTTCCGCTACTTTCTCACTATCATAATCACCATCCGACTAGATTGCTGGTGCTATCGTCGCTTCTGCGCCTTCCCTAATCATTTCGCAGACACGATCGATCGAGACGTAGCGATCTATCCTACGGTTTTTCTTTATCGCGCGCGTTTCGCGCTCGATCCATGGATCATCGTTGTATCATCGCGCGCAACAGGTCGCGGCAGAGGGGAACAATCGGGGGATACGAATGTGGAGGAAGCACCGTCAGTTTTCGCGATTCTCGAGATTCTCTTCCCGCGATTCAATTGCCCCATTCTGCCCGTCGTTCTCAAGTCGGTTCAGCGATCACGGTCTTCTTCAATTCGTATTACCACGGTCAATCGTTAATCCTCCGCTTCGTTCCCCAAAAGGAAATCTGATTATTCGATCGGTTACACCCGTCTGCCGTTAAGTTGCCCACCAGTCGCTTCGATGCTTCGATAGTGATTACCTAAATGTCTAAAATTCGTGCACGTTTTGCCACGCGCGTTGTAAATACCGGATTACAATCATCAGTCTTCTCTCGTTTAAAGCGCCGAGCGACTTGAACCGGCCGGCCGACCGCTCTCTTCCGTTCGTCTCGCCCGTATCACAGATCCGATCGCTACAACTCGATCGTCATCGATTTATCAGAGTGATCTCTACGCGGAGGAAGATCCTCGCACTCGCCCTTTCTCTCATGCACTTTCATCACGCTGTCTCACTCTCCCTCTTTTCTCTCTCTCTCTCTCTTTTTTTGTTTCATTCCGCATCGTCGCACGGGGATACATGAGGCGCTGAAAATGTAAGTCCAGTTACAGAGAAATTTGAATCATTTAGGTCTCGGAAGGGTTTTTCGCATCGTTACTTCGTTAATCGTACTTTTTTCAGGGCCCACAAGTCACCGGACATACCGCAGCCTCAAGACTTACGTGCTACACCCGCCTCAGAACCAGTTCGAGAGCCCCGCATTCTTAGTAAAAAGAGTACAGGTCCAGTTGGTGCTTAGGCCGGCATACATAGTCCGTTCTGATTTCAAGTAATATCTTCGGACGCTAATATGGCTGTGTGATTCGTTTAGTAATATTTTAAGATTATTCTTAAGACGATCTTAAATGTGAAAACGAATTATGAATACCGGCCTCACCGTGTCTTCGGGTCTGAGAAGGGTCCCCCAGGTACGGGCCTTAGCAGAATGACTGTCTCGTGCTCTGAAGACAATGTCTTATGTTTTAAGCCTTCGCCTTGAAATGACGCACAATAACTGTCTTAAGAATACAAAATTTAGGCCCGGTTTTGCCAAACGTTGTTTAACTAAGCTTAACTCGTCCCTTGTCTCTTTCCAACTGTTACTTTAGAGAGGGACAAACACGAATTAAACTGGGATTAAAGATAAAGAGCGACGTTTGGTGAAACCTGGCCTGAGAGTACCACGAATCCGCTCAGGCCCCACGTTTAATCTGCCGCGAGCTCTAAGGCAGACGACACGATGAGCCGCCCCCGCCCTTAGAACCTGCGGCTTGCACCGCCGTGTAACATTGTACTTGGGTGTTTTCTGTGAGAAAACCCCACTATTCTACCAACCGTGCTTACTTTGTCTTCGCAAAAGAGGAAGTAAAATTTTCAGCGCCTCACTTCCGTCGTTGCCACCGCGTGAATCATTATCCGAATCTCTCTCCCTCTCGTGCTCTCTTCTTACACTCTCTCGCTCACTCACACTCTCTCTCTCTCTCTCTCTCTCTCTCTCTCTCTCTCTCTCTCTCTCTCTCTCTCTCTCTCTCTCTCTCTCTCTCTCCCCCCCCTCCCTCTCTCTCTCTCTCTCTCGTTCTCTCGCTCGCATGGTCTCCTCTGCCTTCGGAATTTTCGTATTTTCTTTTTTTCTTCTCTTTATGCAACACATAATGCGACTAGGTAGTACAGATTAATTAATAATTAATATCGTTAGTTATACAATAATAACGTATGACTAGACAATGCAAGATAATAATTATATCGTAAATAGTAATAATCATATTATGGATCGCAATTTATATCAACAATGTAGTGGTGGCGCGCACGTGTTTCAAAGAATGTAGTGTCAAATTACCGTTTTTTGTTGTTTTTTTTTTACGTCTGTATGCGTGTCGCTTCTGTTTCTTCGTGTGCGTGTTCCCGTGTGCGTGGCTAATTCCCGCTTCCCCCTGCGTTACAAGTGTATCTTGGACGTGTGTACGTACGTGTACGCCTTCTTCTTTCAAGCGTGATCCATTCGTCCTACCTCGCGGATGTTACACCGCGAACGGAATCGGAGGATGAAATCGCAACGGAGCCCGATAGCTGCGGGAGATTCCGCAAAGCTGGTCGAACAAGCAGGAATGATTTCAGATTGTTCTTTTCTTTCATTCGAGGTGTATCCGCAATTTAGGAAAAAAAAAAACGAGGAATCTCTCCCTCTCCCTTTCTACGGCACGTAACATCCCGCTTTCGCGCACTTGTCTCGCGTATGTGTGTACAGTTCGTATGCAGTAGGAAGCTTTCTGCGTTTAAGTTATCGTCGGTATCCCGATTAACCCCTTAAAAAGTATCAATAATGCAATGGTCAACGCGGCGGCCGACGGTGCGCCGCGTTCCGTTCGAGGGAAACGTCCTTGTTAACGGATCCAGCTGTCACGGTGAAAGTGCACGTGGTAATCCTGCCGCGCAATCCTACAATGTATCATACATCTACGGAAATAATGAAATCATTATATCTCTCGGTGACAAATAAATGGCGAGGCGCGGACACGGCGCGACGCAACGTCTCGCGGATCGCCCGTACGTTCAGGCGGGATCGTGGTCGGGCGGGGGAGCGCGAACGAACGGGCCTCCGTCGAGCCCGAGTTTTCATCCCCCTTCGTCGCGGTACGCCCGCAAAGCGCCCGCCGCATTCGCTCGCGCTCGCCCGCGCTCGCACGGTTCCACCTCGGACAGCGGCGGCAGCGCGCGAGGCGTCCCGTCGCTCGCGCGCGAGCGTTGTCTCGCACGATATAATTTAAGATATACGTAATAATCTGATAATAATACTCGAGACGCGTAATATCGCGCTTCGTTCACTAATAATAATATACGTAATAGCATGGCGATAATAATAGCAATAATAAGAACGATAATAACACCAATATGTGTATACAGAGTTCTGTCGAGAATATAATATGGTAATATTCCTCTCTCTCTCTCTCCCTCTCTCTCTCTCTCTCTCTCTCTCTCTCTCTCTCTCTCTCTCTCTACGCATTGCTATACGTAACGGAAAAGCTGTTTCCGCGATTGCACAGGTGAACTAAGATCCCCGAAGGTGTAACGAGGGAAAATATTTCTCTGGGGGCCCCCTCTTTCGGCCCGGGCCCCGTGAACCCCTACTCCTTAAGAGGTTAAAAAAAAAACGTCTTAAGGGACCCCTTTTCTCTCGTCCTTGTCGTTTAATGTTACACGATATGCGGTTTTCGCGACGGCGACGCCCGTCGATGGCGGATCCCAATACGACTCGAGGCGCGCCGTCGGCGGGCATCGGGCTCGCTGCCCGGGGGCTTGCTTCCAGGGTGCAGGTTTTGGTTTTGTGTGTGTTTTTTTTCTTTCACATCCGACTTCCAACGAACGGGGAAAAAAGTCGACCGAAAAGATTCTTGGGAAAGGCGGAACTCTTCCGCGTTATCCTCCTCCAGTCTTCCTCCTATCATATACATTTTGTTCCGATTCGATACGTCCGCACCGCCGTGCGTTCTCTCTCACGACGGCGTCTTAATTATATATACAATATATATATACAAATAAAGCACGTATGTGTATATATATAATATATACTAGTTGCGGTCTCCATCGGCGCTCACGGAAATCCCCGTGTTTAACCCGCGGTTAATCCGCCGTTGCCGGGCAACGGCTCTCGTTAGATCGATTCTCCAGTTAATTGCGAGTTCCATTTCAATTAAATATCACAATCAATCGTCGAGCTATCGAGGGTTGAACCGTAAGTCGCGGCGGTGCCGCGAGCGACGTCCGCGCGACAATCATGGGCTCCGCGACGCGAGAGCATTGATGTCGCCGACGCGCTCGAAGGTGCCGCGTCGCCGAGTGCTACGAGCTATATAGAATTAAT